GAAGCGGAGCACAAGCAGCAGCCCTGACCACGGTGTTGCCACAGCACATCTGTCTCCCTCGGACCCCTCGGACCACCAACCTCCCACCTCCTCTTTCTCCATGCATCTTCCCACAGTCCACCTGAGCCAAAGGGGCAGACTCTCCTCCCTCTCCTCCCTATCCTGCCTCTCCTGCCTCTCCTCCCTCTCCTGCCTCTCCTGCCTCTCCTCCCTCTCCGGCCTCTCCTGCCTCTCCGGCCTCTCCTGCCTCTCCTGCCTCTCCTGCCTCTCCTCCCTCTCCTGCCTCTCCTCCCTCTCCTGCCTGTCCTCCCTCTCCTCCCTCTCCTGCCTCTCCTCCCTCTCCTCCCTCTCCTGCCTCTCCTGCCTCTCCTGCCTTTCCTGCCTCTCCTCCCTCTTCTGCCTCTGCCTCTCCTCCCTCTCCTGCCTCTCCTCCCTCTCCTCCCTCTCCTGCCTCGCCTCCCTCTCCTGCCTCTTCTCCCTCTCCTGCCTCTCCTGCCTCTCCTCCCTCTCCTGCTTCTCCTCCCTCTCCTCCCTCTCCTGCTTCTCCTCCCTCTCCTCCCTGTCCTCCCTCTCCTGCCTCTCCTCCCTCTCCTGCCTCTCCTCCCTCTCCTCCCTCTCCTCCCTCTCCTCCCTCTCCTCCCTCTCCTCCCTCTCCTGCCTCTCCTCCCTCTCCTGCCTCTCCTCCCTCACCTCCCTCTCCTGCTTCTCCTCCCTCTCCTGCTTCTCCTCCCTCTCCTCCCTCTCCTGCCTCTCCTCCCTCTCCTGCCTCTCCTCCCTCTCCTCCCTCTTCTCCCTCTCCTGCCTCTCCTCCCTCTCCTGCCTCTCCTCCCTCTCCTGCCTCTCCTCCCTCACCTCCCTCTCCTGCTTCTCCTCCCTCTCCTGCTTCTCCTCCCTCTTCTCCCTCTCCTGCCTCTCCTCCCTCTCCTGCTTCTCCTCCCTCTCCTCCCTCTCCTGCCTCTCCTCCCTCTCCTCCCTCTCCTCCCTCTTCTCCCTCTCCTGCCTCTCCTCCCTCTCCTGCCTCTCCTCCCTCTCCTGCCTCTCCTCCCTCACCTCCCTCTCCTGCTTCTCCTCCCTCTCCTCCCTCTCCTGCCTCTCCTCCCTCTCCTGCCTCTCCTCCCTCTTCTCCCTCTCCTGCCTCTCCTCCCTCTCCTGCCTCTCCTCCCTCACCTCCCTCTCCTGCTTCTCCTCCCTCTCCTGCTTCTCCTCCCTCTCCTCCCTCTCCTCCCTCTCCTGCCTCTCCTCCCTCTCCTCCCTCTCCTCCCTCTTCTCCCTCTCCTGCCTCTCCTCCCTCTCCTGCTTCTCCTCCCTCTCCTCCCTCTCCTGCCTCTCCTCCCTCTCCTGCCTCTCCTCCCTCTCCTCCCTCTCCTCCATCTCCTCCCTCTCCTCCCTCTCCTCCCTCTCCTGCCTCTCCTCCCTCTCCTGCCTCTCCTCCCTCTCCTGCCTCTCCTCCCTCTCCTGCCTCTCCTCCCTCTCCTCCCTCTCCTCCCTCTTCTCCCTCTCCTGCCTCTCCTCCCTCTCCTGCCTCTCCTCCCTCACCTCCCTCTCCTGCTTCTCCTCCCTCTCCTCCCTCTCCTGCCTCTCCTCCCTCTCCTGCCTCTCCTCCCTCTCCTCCCTCTCCTGCCTCTCCTCCCTCTCCTGCCTCTCCTCCCTCACCTCCCTCTCCTGCTTCTCCTCCCTCTCCTGCTTCTCCTCCCTCTCCTCCCTCTCCTCCCTCCCCTGCCTCTCCTCCCTCTCCTCCCTCTCCTCCCTCTTCTCCCTCTCCTGCCTCTCCTCCCTCTCCTGCTTCTCCTCCCTCTCCTCCCTCTCCTGCCTCTCCTCCCTCTCCTGCCTCTCCTCCCTCTCCTCCCTCTCCTCCCTCTCCTCCCTCTCCTCCCTCTCCTGCCTCTCCTCCCTCTCCTGCCTCTCCTCCCTCTCCTGCCTCTCCTCCCTCTCCTGCCTCTCCTCCCTCTCCTCCCTCTCCTCCCTCTTCTCCCTCTCCTGCCTCTCCTCCCTCTCCTGCCTCTCCTCCCTCACCTCCCTCTCCTGCTTCTCCTCCCTCTCCTGCTTCTCCTCCCTCTCCTCCCTCTCCTGCCTCTCCTCCTTCTCCTGCCTCTCCTCCCTCTCCTGCCTCTCCTGCCTCTCCTTTCTCTCCTGCCTCTCCTCCCTCTCCTGCCTCTCCTCCCTCTCCTCCCTCTCCTGCCTCTCCTGCCCCTCCTCCCTCTCCTCCCTCTCCTGCCTCTCCTCCCTCTCCTCCCTCTCCTGCCCCTCCTGCCTCTCCTGCCTCTCCTCCCTCTCCTCCCTCTCCTGCCCCTCCTGCCTCTCCTGCCTCTCCTCCCTCTCCTGCCTCTCCTCCCTCTCCTGCCTCTCCTCCCTCTCCTCCCTCTCCTGCCTCTCCTGCCCCTCCTCCCTCTCCTCCCTCTCCTGCCTCTCCTCCCTCTCCTCCCTCTCCTGCCCCTCCTGCCTCTCCTCCCTCTCCTCCCTCTCCTCCCTCTCCTCCCTCTTCTCCCTCTTCTCCCTCTCCTGCCTCTCCTCCCTCTCCTGCCTCTCCTCCCTCTCCTGCCTCTCCTCCCTCTCCTGCCTCTCCTCCCTCTCCTGCCTCTCCTCCCTCTCCTGCCTCTCCTGCCTCTCCTGCCTCTCCTTTCTCTCCTGCCTCTCCTTTCTCTCCTGCCTCTCCTCCCTCTCCTGCCTCTCCTCCCTCTCCTCCCTCTCCTGCCTCTCCTGCCCCTCCTCCCTCTCCTCCCTCTCCTGCCTCTCCTCCCTCTCCTCCCTCTCCTGCCCCTCCTGCCTCTCCTGCCTCTCCTCCCTCTCCTCCCTCTCCTGCCCCTCCTGCCTCTCCTCCCTCTCCTGCCTCTCCTCCCTCTCCTGCCTCTCCTGCTTCTCCTCCCTCTCCTCCCTCTCCTCCCTCTCCTCCCTCTCCTGCCTCTCCTCCCTCTCCTCCCTCTCCTCCCTCTCCTGCCTCTCCTCCCTCTCCTCCCTCTCCTGCCTCTCCTCCCTCTCCTGCCTCGCCTGCTTCTCCTCCCTCTCCTCCCTCTCCTGTTTCTCCTCCCTCTCCTGCCTCTCCTCCCTCTCCTGCCTCTCCTGCCTCTCTTGCCTCTCTTGCCTCTCCTCCCTCTCCTGCCTCTTCTGCCTCTCCTCCCTCTCCTGCCTCTCCTGCATCTCCTGCCTATCCTGCTTCTCCTCCCTCTCCTGTATGCTCTGTGCTTTCTCATTCAGCATTCACTCCACAAACATGCAATTGAGCACAAACTCTATTCAAAACACCCTTCTCGATGCAGAAAATAACAGCAGTGAGTCTAATACCTTGACTCTCTCAGAGCTTACACCCTAGCACAGTAGACGAGGAGAAGGACAGCAAGCGAGTACAGTGATAATTACATATTACAAGGTTCTGATAGCATAGTGTGCAGCAATAAGTTTTACAAAGAGCCAGAAAGCCGTGAGGATGGAGGCTGAGCCCATGGTCATGGACGAGAGTTTGAAGGCATCTGAGCAGAGATTTAGATGAAGAGAAAGACAGGCCATGGCAGTGTCCAGGGGCAAAGTTTTGCAGGCAGTGAGAACAAGCAGCTCAGTGGGAATAAGCCTGGCGTGCCTCCAGACCTGCAGCAAGGCCAGCAGGCTGCAGAGGGTGAGTGCAGAGGACTGTGGCTGAGGGAAGGCTGGAGAAGTCACAGGCCTGCCTCTTAATATGTTTCAAAAAGATATAGAAACTACTTCAGAGAGGGTTTTTCTTTCTGGACTCTCCTTTTACTAAGAATAGAGAAGTCAGCCACAGAGAAACAGATCAGGGGCCACCTGATCCTGAGTTGGACCTTCCTTCTCACGCCTCAGGGGTGCAGCGTATCTGCAGCTGGGAAGCTGCTTGCTAGTGATTCAAGGGAAAACTGAAATATAGTTTGACATTTTGAATATATTTGTTACATGAATAAGTTCTTACAAGGGGTTATGAGAGGCCACTGGGTGGAGAGACATCCTTCTGGAGGGGCCTGTGGACTTAGCACTGAGGCCGGAGTGGTTTGTAAGGACCTGTGAAGTCCTGGAATATGTGTCTGCTTGGTAAAAATGAGGTTATGAGGATACAAACCAAACGCAGTGCTGCACAGAATGATGTTTCATGGCATTGCAATAATCTGAAAATAGGAACTTCAAGTTGGGTGTGTTGTAATTAACCAGGTGCAGAGGTGAGGAGCTGCGCCTTGGCCCCCCCGCGGCCTGGCCTCTGCGTCCCATCATTGATTACTCTCCCACAAGGTTGGGCTCTCCAGGCCCCACACTCTATCTGCCTGGTGTAAGGGAAGGTCGAGGTCGGGCTCTCTAGGCCCCACACTCTATGTGCCTGGTGTAAGGGAAGCTCGAGGTCGGGCTCTCCGGGCCCCACACTCTATCTGCCTGGTGTAAGGGAAGCTCGAGGTCGGGCTCTCTAGGCCCCACACTCTATGTGCCTGGTGTAAGGGAAGCTCGAGGTCGGGCTCTCCACGCCCCACACTCTATCTGCCTGGTGTAAGGGAAGCTCGAGGTCGGGATCTCCAGGCTCCATGCTCTATCTGCGTGGTGTAAGGGAAGCTCGAGGTCGGGCTCTCCACGCCCCACACTCTATCTGCCTGGTGTAAGGGAAGCTCGAGGTCGGGCTCTCCACACCCCACACTCTATCTGCCTGGTGTAAGGGAAGCTCGAGGTCGGGCTCTCCAGGCTCCACGCTCTATCTGCGTGGTGTAAGGGAAGCTCGAGGTCTGGCTCTCCGGGCTCCACGCTCTATCTGCGTGGTGTAAGGGAAGCTTGAGGTTGGGCTCTCCGGGCTCCACGCTCTATCTGCGTGGTGTAAGGGAAGCTTGAGGTTGGGCTCTCCGGGCTCCACGCTCTATCTGCGTGGTGTAAGGGAAGCTTGAGGTTGGGCTCTCCGGGCTCCACGCTCTATCTGCGTGGTGTAAGGGAAGCTTGTTTTTTTTGTTGTTGTTGTTGTTCTCAACTGAACTAATGGCTTCATTTTTGTTTTCTTCCTGGCCATTCTCCACCCAACGCAGGTCCTGGCGTTCCTATGGTGACGGTGCACAACACAACGGATAAGAAAAGTAAGTGCCCTTTTTCTTCTTAAATCTTCCTGAGACTCAGGAGAATTGAAGCAAAACACTCTATGAGATCAGCTGGCCCGCATTTTCCTACTCAGACAGAGAGGTGCGTCATGTCCTAGCAGTTCAGAGCAGGTCCGCGGTCACCAATATCTACTGAATTCCATGAAAGCCAAGCTGCCTGGCCCAGCCAGAGGGCCCCACACCCCTTCACAAGCGCTGAGCCTGGAGGGCCATTCCAGGGCTACCCAGGTCTGCCTAACATGCTCTGAATGGAGCCCAACACTAGATGGCTCTGAACAGCCAGCTTGAAAGGCATTGTAGGCTGACATGAGTCCATCCCCCCTGAGAACCTGCCCTGTGGAGCCAAGAGTTGAGGGGGTGCATGGAGGCTCATCTGTCTTTGTGGGTCTGGGGGCTTCATGGCATGGAGGGTCTCTGCATCCATGCTGCACAAGATGTCAGAGAAACTTATTCTGCCATTGGTAAAATGGTAGGGAAGGCTTTTTCAGGACTGTGGTGATAGGGAGGGAGATTCAGGCTGAACTTCTAATACAGCAAGGCCCCGTGGGGGTAGCCAAGGAGCAGGGTGAGGGGTCTGTGGACCAAAAGCTACTACGAGAAGACCTCAGTGGTAGTGGATTTGGCTCAGCTGACCTAACAAGATTCTTGCTGAAGGCAGGACAAGGACTTGGGCTCAAAGGTGGAGGACGAGGAACTTGATCAGTTGCCAATGGTGATCAGATATTGGGTGTGGGGGCTTCTTGCTAAAACTGGGCAATGAAGGCTGAAGACAGGACAGGGTCAAGCTGAAACCTGGTCAAGAAGAGGACTCAGAGGAGCCTCACTCTTTGGTCAAGGAGAGAGTCTTTGTAAGACTTCCAGGGTCTCTTGAGGTGGTGTATGTTTGCTCGAAGGGCCCCCACGCAGGTGGCCACAGTCACATCCGTGTTTATGCAAAGGATTTAAACTGCCGTGTGCAGCAGGAGACAGACACACAGCACAGCCGAGAAGCAGAGATAATTCGCCCTCGGTCCCTCCCTTCCCAGGCCTCCTACTGTCGTAACCCAAAGCAGCCTGTGTCCTCCTTTCCCGGAGTCCCTCCCACTCCCTTGGACATCCAGGACCCCCTTTCCTGGCAGGAGGGCAAACCTCATGGCCAGGGTCTGCAGTTCCCCTGCATCTGGGGACAGAAGTGAGTCCGCGTCTCTAGTGAACATGGAGAATAGTGGCTCCCTGATTCCTCTCTCTGTGGCGGTGCTCCAAGCACTGGGAGCACTGGGGAGGCGGACGTGCTGGAAGGGAAAACCCCAAACGTGTGTTTAGACACTGTGAAGTGGCCAAAGTGTTCCAAGTGAGCAAATAGATTTGTTTAAAGGGACAGCACTTAGCCAATACTCCCAAATAATGACGATCGTCTGCCAAGGTATCACATCATTACTAGAAATTCAAAACCATCACATAAGTGATCGTAAAACCAGAAATAAATAGATTTTAAAGCCCCCCCCAAAAGCACCATAAAGTGAATATCAGAATGGATTAAAAGAAAACACTCGGAATGGCCGTTGGAAGGACCCAGTGCCAGGAAGAAGCGGGATGGGCTTCCTGTCCTCCTCCCCAGAGGAGGGGCTGGTTTTCCCAGTGAAGAGGTTCGCCTGCCCCCAGACCCCTCTCCAGCCTCACCTTCGAGGTTTGGGAATCTGGGCCATTTGCGCAATGGGGGCAGGATCGCTGGAAGGATGTTGGGAGCAATTGCCTGTGTCTCCCCATCTCCCCACTGCATCCACCCACCCTCCACCCACTCTACGGGGCGGGGGGCTGTGAAGAGCTCCAGGAGGCCACAGAGGCCAGGCTAGAACTTCCACCAAGGCCTGGGGTCAGTGGAGTCTGGCAAATACTCCAGCATGACAGTGAATGCCTAAAGCACCCATGCTAGACCTCTTTAAGTGGAATTTTCCCTGAAGAAAATGCAGATATTGCACAAAACCTCAACTGTGACATCTTTTTTTCCTTAAGAAAATGTGTATTTTTCATTTTGAGTGTTTGATAAATTTACTCCATAGACACCTTTCTGATATTCTGAGGTTTTTCCCTTCTTAAAAATTGATGGTCTGATAGAAATTCGATATGGCATCCAGTGTAGCTCACAGCTTTGCACCCTCCCAGGTCAGCTGTTACCCGATGGCTCTGTGAGATGCCATCACTGGGGACCCTGGAAGTGGGGACACAGGACTCTATGCACTATTTGTGCAGCCTCCTAGGAATCTATAATTATTTCAAATGTAAAGGTTTTTTGTAATCTGCAGGCTAATAAAAAACACAAAGCTATCTCTCAGCTTTGGAAAATACAATATCATATATGGCTCTTCTTAAAAAGGCATTCACTTAAACGCTTTTTACTTGCTTCTTCTGGGGAAGCTATTATGAATCTATTCAGATTCAAAGGTGAATATAGTCCCTACTTTTGGGAAATGCATTTGGACTTCTAAGCCACTTCCAGCCTGGATTTGATCAGTCCTTGGCGCTCCCAAAGTCTCCCACCTGCTGGATCACATGATCACAGTTTCCAAGGCTTCTGTGTGAATGAAAATGAAGCAGGCCTGTGTCTTAGGTGTGTGTGACATCACTGAGGAAGTATTTCATCTATTCCAGTTATAAAATAAGGTAATATATAGATAGGGTGAGGTGCAATTCTTCAGAAGAGAGTTCCAATAAGAACTGACCAAATGCCTTCCAGCAAGTGCAACACGCGAATGTGCTCAGCATTCTGGGAAATTTTATTACCTCTGCTGGGAAACCAAACAACGACTCCTTTTCTGCTGCAGGATTGGCTACTGCATTAACCAATCAACCCAATCAATACTGACAGACCGCGGGCCCGAGGTGGCCATCCGTAATCAACCCAATCAATACTGACAGACCAATCTAATCAATACTGACAGACCAATCTAATCAATACTGACAGACCGCGGGCCCGAGGTGGCCGTCCGTAATCAACCCAATCAATACTGACAGACCGCGGGCCCGAGGTGGCCATCGGTAATCAATCTAATCAATACTGACAGACCGCGGGCCCGAGGTGGCCGTCCGTATCCATCGCCAAGCTCCATAAATGGCTATTTTTAGGCAGCATTTCACTGCTTGCAGTGGAGCTGGCACTTTGGTGACTGTGACTCCTGGAAGCAGAGATGGGACCCAGTGGCTTGAGACGTCAGAAGCACTGAGAGCACACAGAATGGGGCTGGTGACACGTGTCTGGACTCCTTTCCTCCCTGTGTGAAATTTAACAGTGAACCTGAAGGGGACACCACTGCACTGGACCTCAGCGAAGTGCTGACTGACTGGAAATTGGACGGCATTCGGAATTATTTTTGTCACGTTTATTTTACAAGGTTATTTACGTAGCAGTGTTTGACTCTGGGTTTCCTGTAAACTCCAGGGACATTTCACCCGCCCTAGCCCGATTCTGCATTTCTGGCTGTCAATATAGGTCAAGCTCTTTCAGGATGCTCACTTAAGCTGCCATTTAACTTAGGGGAAAAAAACGACCAAATGTGGCTGAGTTGGTTGTTGTTCCCATTCCCAGGAGGACAGTAGGGGTCCCATCTTGCTCACCGTCTATGTTCCATTCAGACTTCTGGCTTGTGGGGGGCCAGGAAGACGTTCCTGAACACCCCCTTTTCTCCCATGCCTGAAATCCCCACGTTGCATGCCCATCCCTCAGGGTTGGCACATCATAGCAGCACACACAGCTTTGGGTCAGCATGGGAAATAAGAGCTGAGCGTGGCAGGCCTTGGTAGGGTGTCGAAACAGCCCTCTGAGCTCTAGCCTCCAGGGATTTGCCGTGGAAGGTGTGTGGGGTTTTTTCAGTGTGTTTACCTTCTGATGTGTTTGATGTCCTCTTGCGGTGCTTCTCAGCCCATCTCCAACCCAGCTGCATCCTCCGCAAACAAAATGCCCTGTGTTTTCATTGTCTGTCAAACTGGTGCATCCCGGGTGACGAGGCAGGTGCCTGGTGCCTCCAGGCTCAGTTCCAGTAGCGTGTTGTTCATGGCATGGCTGGACCACATCAAAGCCTCCTCACGGCCTCTGCGGTGGATGAAGGGTCCACAGCATGAGGTTTGTGGGTGGATGAGCATCTCAGGCAGGCAACAAAGCCACTGTCAGGCCAGCCCTTCACACACCAGCCTTCGACCTCAGGTAGGCTTGAGATCAGTTTTCCTCTTTCATGATTGAAAAGGCCTCTGGAAAACTTCCAGGAGCGACACAGAGGCAAGCGGCGAATCACCCCATCCCTGCCGATGGCCGTTTCATCCGAACACTCTGCCGGCTCAGAGTTCCGTGTCGTTAGGATTCTGCCAAACCCTGCAGCACCTGGACTTATTCCACTGGATGCTTCATCATGAACGTCTCAGACAACCGTGTCCTGAGCAGGGGGCCAGAGAAAGGCTGGAGGTCATCAGGAGCCACGGTAGTCACAACAGTGGCCGCAGCCAGCATTTTTCAAGCCCTTGCTCTGGGCTGGGTGCTGCAAATACTTTACATATTTTAACTCATTTATTTTATCCTCACCAAAGCCTGCGAGGCAGGAACTGCTACTATCCCCACTTGTCAGCTAAGGAAGCTGAGGCGCAGCAGCTTAGGTGATTGGGCCTCATGGGCGCACTTAGAAAGCAAAAGTGGACTTGCATCTCAGACCCAAGCAGTGCGGCTCCAACACAGCCTGTTCTTCCAGACGTACAGTCACTGCACAGTGCTGCTCAGCCACCGGCCGCCACACGGTCTGAAGGACAACTGCAGATCCAGAGTGACACCTGGCCTGCGCACCCATTGAGATGAGGGAGGCGGAAGCGGCCACAGCTGCAGCTCCTTCTCAGGCACCTTCTCCCCTGCACACCACCCCCTCGAGTCCCATTGGAGCCAGCTCTGGGGGGGGCGTGCAGCACTGTAGCTTCTCCTGCTCTGAGAAGCCTTCCACGTCACAGGGAAGGATGTTCTTAAA